CTCTCCCTCCTCCCATAAAATCCATGGGGAGTCTCAAAGAGAATCTGAAAACAGGGACATTTCCATATAGCTCATTTCACATAGAGAAATCCAACTCATTAATGTAAGAAGTCAAGACTACGCCAGAGCATACTGCGCACTTGAGATAATCACAGGTAAGTCTCATATTGCAGGTTTTTTCCCATATTAAATGGATTGTGAAAGCAACTGGAAACTACTTCACATTCATTTATGTGAACTACTGCTGTCCAAATCTCACCCCACAAAAAAACGTACTCTTTCTCCAGCAGACGACAGAAAGGAAGCCAGTCTTGAAGGTAGAAGGTGAAATCCTGGTTCCACTGTATTCATTTGCCAAATTTGAGCTGACTTCAACTGAGCCAGGATTTCCCCCATAAAGATTTAGCTACAGTAAGCAGGGGAATGTCTAAATGGCAGAGTCAAAAACCAGGTAATGGAGACTTTAGATCCCCACTTTGTACCCCCAAGCCAAGCACCACAGTAACACATGACACGAGAATATTGCCTTGGCTGAGCTCGTAACGATCAGTTTTCCAACTCAAAAGATGCATGTTATTACTGAAGTTTCTGCAGGTAATCCTCCCAGCATAAAGGAAGGAGGAATCAAACATAACAGAGACAAAGTGCTTCTTTCACCTTTACAGACAATCTCCTGAGAACAACTATCACTGCCACATCTGGTGATTCTGGAGCTACATCAATTTTATTTTCCTTTGTAACCTATTATTGACACAATTTTGTCTATTATTAGCACTATCCTGACCATCCTGCTTCACGCTGCTGTAAAGGTATCTCTTCAAGTGAGAGGGAGTGAGCCAGTGTGAACTAAGGGAAAAAACAAGCAAAAAAGTGAAATTCTTCAGCAGAATGAACACAAGCAGCCAGAAATAAGAAAAAACACATAAACAACAACTGAATCTGTGCAGAACAATGCAGCGATTGAGAGAATTCAATCAGCACTGCTTCTAGCACCAAATTCAGGGCCGTAATTCCCACAGTACTTCTAAAGAGTATTTTTCATGCAGGACACGGAAGTTATTATTTCTTTCTTAATCCTTGCCTCAGTTCCTAACCAGGCTCTCTCCCTGTGTGCTAATTGGGATGGACGAAAATTCAGTAAGTAATGCGGTTTTCCTGGGTTTTGTTTTCTTAACTGCTTGAATTCTTAAAAAACATCTACTTTTTTCTCCATTACCAGATACAATGCTGCAGCATGGATGCAGCATCACTTCCCGGGATCCAGATCTTAAAGCTACCTGAGAGTAACGCTAAGAGCCAAAACTCTTATCTATCAGTACAGTGAAAGACTGTGTTACAATTACTTGCCATGGCTGTATAAGAGGAGGAAAAAAAAAAAAGAATTACTGCTTTTTACAGTCAATTATCTGTTTTACCAGAATGTTATCTTAATATCTTATTTACTAAAATTTTTAATCTTTACTATAAGACTAATTTTACTATAGCATTATTATTTACATTGCTTCTCACATATCCCTTGTTAATCTGAATGACTTAAATGATCTTATACAATTCCGTAAGTACTGGAATATACACAAGATGACACGGGAACACAGCACACAAACTAAGAGACAGATATCTCAAAACTATATTTAGCATACTCACTTGAATAAAGGAGTCCCACAAACAACACATTTGTATATTCCTTGAGCTTTATGATGTGTGTACTCCCCCTCAAAGGCACTGGGAAAACAACAACACTACATTTTAAAAATAAATAAAGGAATTTGGGGTTTTTTTTAATTATTAAATTAGCTAAGACGTTAGGAAAACGTTACAGAGAAAACTCCACGATTTGGAAGTTGGCAGTTGTTTTTTATTAAAGGCAGCAAATAAAGCAGGCACAGGAAAAGGGGAATGTCCTCATTAGCGTGCCTCAGGTGTTATGTATCATGCAAGAGGAAGCGAATTGTCCCGCAGTTCAAAGGGCAGGACAACAACAACAAAAAAAAAAGGGGGAAAACTGGAATCTTCCCCGATTTGGCAAGCGAAACGTAAGCTTTTGTGAACCCGCACTGTCTGGCATGTAGCTCGACCTGACGCGCTCCTCTGGGCCTGTCCTTGGGAATTGTGTTGGTGTGGGGTGGCCGCGAAGCCGTGGCGCTGGGTCAGGCCGCCGTGGGCTGCCGGGGCGGCAGAGGCATTGTAGCTGAAAATGAAATAATTGGTCCACGATTTCAAGCTGCGTGCGCCTTATATTTTTTAGTTGAAAAGCAGTATTACAGCTTTAAGGGAATATTTTTCTAAGTTAACAATCTAAAAGGCTAGGAGGTCATTCATCTAATACAAATCAGCTGCGCTAGCCCAACAAAAAGCCTATGTGCTTGGCAGCTTGTTTTTATTATCCTTTCACCCTTTTTATGAGGTCCAATTTTTTTTTTATAAACAGGATTTTTAAGAATGACCTAATCTCCGATTGTTTGTGTGCATTAAATCACGTTGTTGGTCCCGTACACAAGAGCGAGGAGGGCCGGAGGCGGGGGGGAAGGAAAGGGCT